GAAGATTGGAATTATACCATCCAATGGTTTCCATATGGGATGTTGGGTAATGTAGGTGTGTTCAGAATAAATATGGGGGATGGAAACTGATAATGATGTAAGGTTTATGGGGGTATCCAAAAGATTCGATCCATTTGGTTAAAGTGGTAATGTTTTATAAGAAATTTATAAAAGTTTAGAGCTCTAGGGTTAGGATGGTGGTAATTGTTCCATTGTGAAAAATGGCAATGTCTAAGGTGAGATAAGAGTTTTCTTACATGGAAGTTAAAACATATGTGGTGGTTTTGGGGAGATATCAGAAAAAGCAAATGGCTTCTTTTGGCATGTTGTAGTAGTGTCTGGTTTGGAAAAAGGACAAAAATGGGTATGTAGGAAAGGATCGGATTCCTTGAAAGCCATCTCCATGATTTCTAATGACTATTTCATGCATTTTTTGTTGCATTAGATCATTTCTGGAGGTCATGGTTTTTCTGATGATAACATCGTAAATTTCATCAGGGAGGTCCTGTGGATTGTCATCATTGATGCTAATAATTGCTCCCAAAAAATGAACAATTGGAGAACAGGGTCTTTTCAAAAACTTTCTTCTTGAGAACATTTTTGCCAAAACATTATTTTTCTCGAAAATGTGCTTATATTCAAAATTCCATTGTGAAAACCAGTTTGACCATCTGAGTAACTGGGGGTTTAGAAGTATTTTAATTTTGAACTTAAGCATATTAGGGAAGGCAGATAAATCCATTTCAACAAGGAAATTGTGTCATATAAGGTGAAATTGGAATTTTTCAGTTCCTCTTTCGACAGCAAGGATTTCTTTTAAAGTAGAATGGTAATGGAGTTCTGAATCCTTTAATTTTGCACTCTTATAACCACAAATCATTCTTTCTTTTTCAATTTCGTCGAGCAAAATACAAGCCCAGAATTCATCTGAGGCATCTGTTTGCAAAATTCTTTTTCCTGTTAAAGGGATTTTCAAAGAAGGTAAATTTTGATATAATCTTTTGAGCTCTTGAATATACTCAGTTTATTTCTTTGACCATGGTGGTGTTTTTTTCTTTAACAGTAGATAAAGAGGACTGGTAAACAAAGAAAACTTAGCAATAAAAGTGGACATATAATTTACAAGTCCTAAGAACTGCTGAATTTTCTTTACAGAAGACAGCGTGTTAGGGAATTCTAGCAAATGCTTAGCTATATTGAGGTGTAATTTGTACATATCGTTATGAAAATGCATACCAAGAAAGTCTATTTCAGTAGTAGCAAAAACACATTTTTTTTCAGAGAGCATAATGCCGTACTTACAATAAAGAGAATGAAACTTTTATAACAGTAGTGTATGCCTTTCTAGATCAGGAGAGAACAAAAGGATATCATCTATGTATATCAAAGCCTGGGTTGAGATTGGTTCGAAAATGGTGGTTAAAACTTTTTGAAAATAAGTGGGTGCATTTTTCAAACCAAAGGGCATAATAGTCCATTGAAAATGATAATTTGAAAGGCAAAAAGTTGTTTTTGGTCTATCATCCGTATGTATTCCAAATTACCAAAATCTAGATTGTAAATCAAACTTTGAAAATATGTGAGCATGGGATATCTGGGAAAATAATGCTATCTGGTTTGGTAAAGGAAATTTATCATCTACAAGAAAGGTATTCAAAGGTTGATAATTTATAACCAATCTAAGTTTTCCTAGGATTTCTCAGCTCTTTTATTTACATAAAAAGCTTCACATGCCCATGGAGAGCTGGTTGGTTCAATTAATTATTCCTTCATCAGATCATGTATTTCTTGTTTAGCTTGGTCTAACAAATTAGGATTTAGTCCTCTGTGAGAAGCCTTCGTAGGATTGATGTCCTCATTCTCTTTAAATGGGAGTCTGACATAAAAGTTTTGATTTGTCCAGATAGGATTGGTGCACTTTTTAAAGAATTCAGAATGAGAATTGACACAACAATCAGAGATAATTTTTTGCCTAACAGTTTCTAAAGTCTGGGGCTGGTCTATGCTTGCAATCCAGGGTAAGGTTAGGTTTTTAAAATGAAGTCCTTTAGAAGTCCATTGAAGTTTTACTTGGTGTAAAATATCAAAGCCTAGTAAAAGGTCTTTGTTTGGTAGGTAAGAACCTAAGAGTTTATGCTGGATAACAATTTTAGGAGATAATTTTATGAGGATGGGTTTGCTAATTTGGTTTATGGAAAATTTGGTTTGCTAAATTTGGCTTTAGACAAGTTTTTAAGAAAGTACTCATATCTTGTAAAGGTTTGGAGAGGTCAGGCTTTGTGTAGGTATTGAAGAGGCTATAACATCAAAATCACTATATGATGCCTGAAACATTTGAGTTTCATTTTTAGGAGGAATAGTTGTGGGAGGTTGAGTTGGACCTGGTTGTGAGGTAATAGGAGGTTTAGGAGCTGGGATTTGGGATGAGCTTGGTACCGAAATGTTTGGTTTTTTTCTTAACTGAGGAAAAAACATATCTTCAAAAGAGCTAAAAGACTTAAAACCAAAATTTCTTGGAGGAATCGAACCTGTAGGAGGATATATGGTTCTTGTAGGAGGAAAAGGGTCAGGATTTCTCAAAGTTGGGTAGTTTGGGACATAAGGATTTCCTAATAATGGTTGAAATTGAGATTGGTATGGAGATTGAGAATACTGAGATTTCATCCAAAGGTCTTTCTTAAGACTTTGCAATTGTTTTTCCAAAAATATTTTTTCTTTTCCCTTTTGATTTAACAAGTAAGATTGCTAATGAATATCTTTAACTGAATACAAAATCTGCATCAATTCTTCATGCAACAGATGTATTTTTTCTTTTAACTGCATAATTATGTTAGTTAAACCTTGTAACTGATAAGACATATTATTCTGTTTTTCTTTTATCCAGAGCAATGCTAAGTTTTGAGACTTAACATTCTCAGCTTGCCGGTTAAGGCTTGTTTCAATAGGAGAAATTGTCTTTAAAGCCTCAGTAGAATATCTGGTAGTAGGGTTTCTAATATTCCATACATGTCTTTCATTATCCTGGATCTTTTCATAATCATGTAATGGAAGGAAAATTATTAGCATAATTAGAACTGTAAGGATCAAACATCATGAATTTAGAAATGTAAGACTTTTCATCAGTAGCATAATTCTTGTCTTCCAATCCAGTAGGGATGATTTCAGAAGTTTCAAGTGTTTTTGGGTGTTGACTGCCATAAGTTACATAATAATCTCATTTTCCAGAACTTTCACCTAATAATCCAACTTTAGGATCGCCATCAATGAACCTTTGGTAAAGTTTTTGTTGAGAAGAAATTTTCTTTTTATTCTCTTCAACATCATTTTGATATTGGATGCAAGTAGGACAGTTACAATAATCAAACAAATTATGACCATCTGAGGTCTTTTGTTCATAAATAGGATTCCCATTTTTATCAAATGCAACAATTGGGACTTTTTCAAGTAATCCTTAAAATTGGGTAGGGAATATTTCTCTGGTTTGATTTTCAATATTGCTTGGGGACTGGAAACTTATTTGGACCATTCCATATGGCAACCTTGTCATTTTAGATTCAGACTGCATCACAGGTTGACTTTGGGTTTGTAAATTTTCATAATTCGTAACACATGAAGATGGAATTAACTCAAGCAACTGTTCCCTTAATATCTGTCTCAGGATGTAATGACATACAGGTTGGGAGTTATTATCAACTTTGATAAACAGGGCAGTGTTTTCACATTCAGGGGTTAAAGGTATAACAATATCAAAAGCATGATTCTTAAGCCTATACACCATTTGGTAATGGAGTGTGGCTACAGAAGCAGTTTCAATTTGTCTTTTGCCAGTAATTTGTAATTGAAATTTGAAAACAGAGCTCAAATGGGGGTCTCTGATAGGGATATTGAACTTAAGAAAGGAGGTAACAAAAATTGTGCCAGCATATAGGGTTGTTTGGATTGTTCCGATGCAATCATGCTGGTATTCCAGAAATCTGGTGTCTAACAATGCAATTCTATTTATTGCTTCCATTCCTTTCCGACCATGGAAGGTTGGGGCTAGTTTATGGCTCCAAAATGGATATGGGTATATCCTTCTTTAAGCCATTGGGGGAAAAGGTTTTTGGGGAGGCTAATGGTGATATATTGTTCAGCTTGATTGGCTGGGATATGGTGTTGGTCAAAAGAAGAGGTTTGAACATATTATTTGATGACTTCTTGATTCTTTTTTCCACAAAATTTTTTGATTTGTTTAGTCCAATTTAAGTTAGATTTATCATAAACATGATAATGATTAATTAATTGAGAACGAGTTTCAGAAAACTTTTATGGGGTATAGGTTATTTCAAAAAGGTGTTCTTGTTTTAAAAACATAAGTTCTAAATCTGGATCAGAGGAAGAAGTTGGGTCAAAAGAAGTATTTGAGATGGTTTCATCTGCCATTTTAAAGAATTTACAGAGTTGACTGTAATTGTAAAGCAAGGGTAGGTTAAGGCCAACTTTCTTGGGATGGTTTACAAAGTATGAACTCATTTCTAGGCCTTATTGCCATCTTCAGAGCTCCTTTAAAGTAAACCTAAGAAAGTATTTGATAATGAAATCATCATCAATAAAATTAACCTTTAATTTGTACTTTGTTTTCTGATGCGAGAGATCGTAGTCCTTCTAAAATAGCGGGGCCACCAAAAAGTTGAATGCCCTCGACATTACCCTCAAAGGGTGGCACTTTATGATCCCTATGACCATTGAAAATCCGTGCTCACAAGTTATAACCGTTGATCACCATCAAAATCAACGCCCTAACGGTCATGAATAAGGAGTGGGAATCAAGGAATCAACACCCGGTCTTATCATGTTCTGGCCGTTTCTCTTATTCGCTATCACCGTCGCTCTGTGGATCAATGGTGTTAAGCGTACATAACCCTATGGGCCTGTGGATCATGGTACGCGATCCCAATCTCAAGAACTAAAAAAAATGGCGCCTAATGTTTGAAGTTGGATTCCATTAAAACGCTCTCATTCCCCTTGCTTTTTTAGTGTCGCTGTCCCCTTTAAACCAACGCAGGGCCCCTCCTTTTCCATGGCGGGAACTTTTCAAACTCATTTTGCGGGGGAACCCCAACCCTAATTTCCCCCTTATAGCCACGCCCTCCTCCCCTCTTCTCTCTGCAATTCCCCCTCCTCTCTCTCTCTCTCTCTCTCTGTGTCTCTTGATATTTCTTTGCAACTCTCTCTTTTAACCCTAGTACCAATCGAGACATCCCTTCTGCCAGGTTTAGATCAAAGGAATTTGAAGTTTCAGGCCAATTTCAGGCTAGAAATTTCTGGATCGATTCTACCTTTATACCCTAAAGCTTAGTTTTTAGGATTCGGTGAAGTGGAGATTCGTGATTGCAGGCCAAGCGTTTGCTCAAATTTCTTATATAGGGAGAAAGAGGTGATCTTGATATTGATCCGTTTGTTGCGTTTCTTCTCTGATTACAGAGATGTATGTGGTTAAGAGAGATGGGAGGCAAGAGGCTGTCCACTTTGACAAGATCACTGCGAGGTTGAAGAAGCTGAGCTATGGCTTGAGCACTGAGCATTGTGAGCCTGTGCTTGTGGCTCAGAAGGTTTGCGCTGGTGTTTATAAGGGGGTAACAACAAGCCAGCTTGATGAGCTCGCTGCGGAAACTGCTGCTGCCATGACTGCATGTCATCCTGATTATGCATCAGTGAGTGATTTTTGCTGGTTTGATTTCCTTTTTTCTGAAGTTAAAATAGATGGTAGAGGTTGATATGGTTATTTGTGTTTGAAGGACAGGCTTTCTGGTCTTGATTGTGCTTTTTCTTTTTTCTATTTTCATGCCTGTTTTTCTGTTTTGATTTTATTGACTTGTTACAACCTGGTTTTGATGTTTGGGATCATTTCATTCACAGCGTTTATTGCTTTTGCTTGCCAATGTTTTTGTCAAATTTCATTTAAAATTTATGTTCTATCTTATTGCTGTATAAATAATTCATACTTAGCTTGTTTCTGCTGGTTTTGCCTATGGTTTACATATCAGGCTCTGGTTTGATATTTTTTGTGTCCATGCGTCACTTGTTCAGTCTCTCTCATCGGTGTGCCTTTTTTTTGGGGGACAATTCAGCTGTAGTTTTGAACTTGGTGCATACTGTTGCAACTGTGAACACCTGAATAATCAACCCAAGCTTAAGTCCTGCCGTTGCAATAGCTACAGGATGTGTGTGTGTGTTCTCTTTTTTTTTCATTGGCCAGATGTTTACTTTCTGTGCTTGCAATCTCTCTCTCTCTCTCCTC